CTTGAACCAGGTACCGTTCGCTCCTCACTTTCCAGCCTCCCGGCCTTCTATATTGACTCCTTTCCCTCCTTCTCTCTATCCTGGTGATAAGGAAGGCTTAGGAGAGACCTTCACATTTCCCATAGTGTTCCCAGAGAAGGCTGCATCTCCACTCTCTGTCTTACGGGCGAGTCGCCTTTCAGGGACCCTAACTCTACCTGGGGAGCTCTGGTCTACCTCTTGTCTTTCATAGTCCAGATTTTTGTCTCCTGTCTCCTTTATTGGAACCCAGTCTCTGGTCATTATGGACCAGCAGATACTCCAGGATAACACGTAACAGCTTCAGAAATCGCTTCTCTGGGCTCATAATTTCTTATTTTTTTGGCCTCTGATGATTCCCTTTTCTCTTCTAGTGGATTGGCGCATACTTAAAACTATTACTTAAAAACATGAGGAGAGCAGTGTTTGATCACCCTATCACAGGGACGTGTCTACAGACATCTAGTGCACTGTGTCCCAGACCCAGAGACCCTCCCAGCATCATGTAGCATTCTTTAGGAAGCACATCCACTTTGTGCTCACAGGGCTTCCCTCAGCAGCTCTTTAAGACTGGGAGAGTGAGTGCCATGATTTCCATCTTACAGCACAAAATTACTTCTATAAGATAACATAGGGAGGTCATAGCAAAGGTAAGGCAATAGATTTCAGTTTGAAGCTCTTTCAGTGGATCATGCTCTCAGAAGAAAATGATACGAGAAGAGAACGTCTTCTCTGGTCACAAACTGAGTGACTCTCTGGGGGTGCAGGTTGTAGGTAGGATATTAGGAGTCTTTGCCTCAATACTGGATTTTTATGACTTAAGGAAAGTGTCAACCCTCCCCATACTAAGAACATGTACAGCATAAGGCTATAAATGCTTCTGTCATGCACCACAAGAGCAAGTATCTTTCAGGAGCATGGAAGCAGCTAATGCCCATAAACACTGACAGTGTCTGAGGGAGGGAGCGCCACAGGGAAAGTGCTCAGCGCTGTCATTCTGGCGTTATGACTTCAGAAACCACAGGGCACCCTGGCGTGTTTTCAGAGGGCTTCTACTCACAAGACAGTTCTCTAGAGGCTGAAGACACAAGCAACCGTCCCGTGACAACAAGGAAGTACGATTTCATAAATGTGTTTCTTCTGCCATTCGCTTCCTTTCCTCTGTGTATAGACATGGAATGAGGGTCAGAGGAAGCCTAGGCCAGGCTCAGCCTCCAGGTCTCCTTGGTTTTCATTCACCTCTAGGCTGGATCCAAGAGTGGACTCATCTTCAGTCATGTTGGATGGATTGAAATCGTTGACGGGGAAATGGCTCTTCGTTACTTGATGTTTCTACCCACTGACTTACTGTGCTCATTGGAAAATGGCAGAGGACATTTAGGGGCCAGAGACTGCTGATGGCAATAAACACGTTCCAGAAAATTGGGTTGCTGTGCACAGTACTATATTACAAAGCCAATGCCGTAACTAGTTTCTCCTGTGTCAGGCACTGAAGCACATCAGCCCAGCTGATCTAGTTTTCTTATAAAAAGGAGTCAGAATCACCTAAATAAAAGTCTTACTGGCCTAGTCACGATAGTGTGTGCTGGTAGACACTTCTACTCCGTGGGCCAAGGCCACGTAGGCGGCTTGAGTTCAGCTCCTGGTCTGCCCTGAAGGCTGTGTGTGGTGGTACATGCCTGTAGTCCTAGCTACTCAGGAAGCTGAGGCAGGAAGATCACAACATAGCAAGACCCTGTGTGGAAAAAACCCTGTCTATGGACTAGCTAAATAAAAATCTTCCTGACTGCAGCATGTTGTCCGCTCGTTCCTGACACGCATGTGCTCTTCTTTCCCCTTCCTGACTCTGCTGTCTTTACCTTTGACTCATTCGTTGTCTTCTTCGCAGGTACTGTGACTGCTTTGCGAGTGGGGACTTTTGCAACAACTGCAATTGTAATAATTGTTGCAACAACTTACGTCACGAAATCGAACGGTTTAAAGCCATTAAGGTAATAAATTTCCATTAAGTACGTGCATTTTTTAAAAAGCATTTAAAAATGCTTAATCTCCAGAATCCTAATTCCATTATTGGAAAATCCAAAGTTTTGAAGAATATACTTCGTGACTATTTCTGTAGAGGAGAGTAACAGCCTATTGAGAGGCTGTTTTGCGAAAGATAGGCAGAGAAAGGTCCTTCTCCCTTCCCCCACTGGGTGCAAAGGCTTTAGAGGCACTGCAGGATCTAGGGTGGTGCTGAATCAAGAACATACAAATGTCCACTTTGTATTTACTTGGAGTTTAGAAGTTGTGGGTCAGATTACATAGCCTGTGAGTTGAGTTCAAACTGTAGACTGAAAGGTAGAGCTAGGCCACTTTAGGAAGAAGACTGGGAGAAGGCACTCAGCCAGTGCATGTTTGAAACGTTTATATGCCTGCCCTTCCAGGCAAAGGGAAGAATCTCCACTTTCTTAAAGGAGAAAAAGGTTACTTCAGATGGCCCCAAATGCCACTCTGCGGAGAGTTAACCGTGGGAGTTTGCAGTTGTTATCCCTTTCTGTGGGCACAAAGATAATCAGAAAGGAAGGCAGGACACTTAGATTTGGAGCTGTCAACATGCCCCAGGGAGACACTTCTGGTGCCCTCGAGTGTGCAAAGGTGGGTTGAGGGCCATCAAGTGCAGACTTGAGACTATCCTCTGCAAATAGAACAAGATTATGCTGTGTCATGGATGGCCTACTTACTTTTTAAAATATAATTTAATTATCTTCTTCAATTATAGATTGAAGTCAGTTGAAAATGATCAATTTTAATGTAGCCAGGTCCATAGGGCAGAGAGAATTATGATGCTAAACTTCAAGATCATCACAGGGTACTGTGCAATTAAAAATGTAAATTTCTTCTGTTCTTAAAAAAAAAAAATTTGCCCAAGTGTACATGTACTTGCCAGAAAGAGACAGAAAGAGAGAGAGAAAGCAAGAAAGCACTTCTCCCCTATGGGAAATGGTCAGGCTGCCACAATCCCTTCTCCATTTCTCCCTTCTTTCATGATTTTGGACATATGTTCATACACACACACACACACACACACACACACACACACACACACCGAGCATGTTTTTCTAGCCACCGGGTCCAGGTCTTGAACCTCATAGCTGGCCATGTGGAATCTAGCTGTCTTAACCACCATACCATGGACTGGCTCAAAGGCATAACAGTTTTTACTTTTAAAAAGTTGAGGGTGGGGCCAGTAGGTGGGTGGTTAAGGTGCTGGAATCCCACATAACTGACTGGATCTGGACCGAGTCCCGGACCTGGCAGCTTGCTTTCTCACTCCACTCCCCCGCCTCTGGTCAAATTAATGATAATAGGGACCAGGAGATGGCATGATGGTTGCATTTCTGGACTCCCATGTAATCAACTGCAGTTCAAGTCCCAGATCCAGCAACTTGAGGCTCACACAGGTCACGTGTGCATGTGTGCCCAAAATCCCAAGACTAGAATGGAGGAAAAGGGATTGTGGCATGGCTATCCCCTTTGGGGGTGATTTCTCACTTTCTTTCTGGTGAGCACATGCACCCTGTAGCAGGAATCTCTCTTAAAAAAAAAAAAGACAATAATAAATTAATTAATAAAAAAATTGGGGGGCTAACAGGTGGTGTGGCAGTTAAGTATCTAGATTCTCACACGGTTGACACACAGTTCATGTCTCAGACCCAGCGGTTTGAAAATCACTCTGGACACACATGCTTGCATGACCAAAATCCCATGAGGAAAAGGGATTGCAGCAGGGCCACTCACCCTAGGGAGTGGTTTCACACTTTCTGTTTTTATCTTTCCCTGGCAAGTACATGCACCCTATGATACAAACCTAAACAAAAACAAACAAACAAAAAAAGGTGGAATTCTCATGCATTGCTTTTAGGAATGTAAGTTGGTACAACCACTTCAGGAAATTATTTGGCAATAGCTATTAAAGCTAAAACTTGGGACATGCTATGATCCAACGGTTTCATTCCTAAAAATATGGTGAAAAGAAAGAATGTAAATGTCCACAAGGCTTATATAAGAATGTTTATAGTAGCTTTATTCATAACATCCAAAACCTGGGAAAAATCTAAATGTCCATGAATGGGAGAATGGAGAAATGCACTCCATATATAATATAATGGAATACTACAGATCAGTGAAAAAGAGAATTAACTACAGCATGAGCTTGGATGCATCTCAGACATTATGCTGAGAAAAGAAGCCAGAAACAAGACCACAAGCTGTATGATTTTACTTACATAAAATCCAAGAACAGGCAAATTTAAAGCTATGAAATTCAGAATAGTAATTCTTTTTTTTTTCTTTTTTTTTTTTGCCATAGGGCTCATGTGCTTGCTAAAGAGACAGTAAGAGGGAAAGTGAAATCACTCCCCAGGGTGGACAGCCATGCTGCAAGCCCTTTTCTTCCATTCTTCTGGAATTTGGGACATGGACGCATAAGTGCCTGATTTGAGTTTCAAGCTGCCAGGTCTGGGATTCGAATACCAGTCAGCCATGTGAGAGCCCAGCACCTTAACCACCACACCACCTGCTAGCCCCTAGAATAGTAATTCTTGTCAGGAGTGCCCTAATTGGAAGGATACGTGCCAGAGTCTCTGGGGCTGAATAGTCCTTTAACTTGACCCGGATGGTGGTTACACAAGTGTTCACACATGCACAAGTTGGTTAGACTACACCTGCAGATGTGTGCATACTTCAGTTATAGAGTTGGCCCTTGATATTTGAGGGGTATTAGTTCGAGGACCCCCAAGAAATGCTAAGATCCATGGATGCTCAAATTCCTTTTATAAAATTAAGTAGTATTTGCATATAACTTAGCCACATCCTTCCATGTCTTTTTTTTTTTTTCTTTTTTTGGAGAGGTTTTTGCTATAGGGTGCATGCGCTCGCCAGACAGACAGAGAGAGACAGAGAGACAGAAAGCAGGAAATCCCCCCCTGGGGGGATGGCCACACTGCAATCCCTTCTCCTCCATTCTCCTCTCGGGATCTTGGGCACGCACGCACACATACCTGGCATGAGTTTAAGCCACTGGGTCTGGGACTTGAACCGCGGTCAACTACGTGGGAGTCCAGCGACATAGCCATTACGCTAACTGCTGGTCCCCTTCCATGTCTTTTTTAACAATAGATATTTGTCATAGGGCACATGTGCTCATTGGAGACAGAGAAAGGGAACATGAGAAAGCATCCTGCAGGGAAGAAGCCCAGGCCACGATCCCTTCTCACGGCCCAGTGGTTGGGACCTGGGGCCCTGCAATCAACATGAGGGCTTAGAATGCAGATTCGACCACTTCCCATCTGTTACTTAAGCTCTTGGTGCCTCAGCATCTTCATCTAGAAAGCGATAGTAAGAGTAGTAGTTTTTGCTTCCCAAGGTTGCTAAGAGGATTAAATGAGATGATACGTGTAAGTCACATGGAAATACTCCTGGGATGGTAAGTACCATCAAGTTCAGTCAGCGTGAGACGTCAGTGTAGTAGCATGACTCAGCTGTCTCAGGAAAAAGGAAGTGCTGGAAGGGAATATGCCCACTTGGAAACAATGATTTTCTTTACATCTTTACTGTCCGTTATTTTTGTACATGGCTTAAAAAAAAAAGATTGATTTAACTTACTTAATTAATTAATTTGAGCAGAGAGGGACAGAATGAGAAAGAGAAAGGAAAGTGAGAAAGCAAGCCACCAGGTCCGGGACTCACACTGTGGACAGCCATGTGGGAGACCAGTGCCCTTAACCACCACACCACCTGCTGGCCCCTAATTATTTTTAATTTGACCAAAGAGGGACAGAATGAGAGAGAGTAAGAATACATGAGAAAGTAAGGTCTGGAACTCAAACTGCCATCCGCCATGTGGGAGTTCAGCACCCTTAACCACCACGCCACCTGCTGGCCCCTCTACGGACTTTTAAACTCAGGGGGGAAAAGTAAAACCTGAAGAACTGTGGCTACAGTGTATCACTGTGTGAGATGAATTAAAATGTAAAAAGGAGGGATGTACTTTCTTAGTTATGAAAGGAGACTCACTGCTTATTTCACTTCTTTATTTTTTTTCCTTCAGGAGAGAAAGAGCAGGGGGTGGAAAAAAGTGGGGGGTGGTATTTTTTTCTTTTTTACAGAAATTTTTGTTATGGGGCTCATGCACTTAACCAGAGAGACAGAAAGCAAGAAATCACGCCCCAGGGGGATGACCACATTGCAGTCCCTTCTTCATTCTCCCCTAGGGACTTTGGGTGCTCACACACACACACACATACACACGTCTAGGGTGAGTTTCAAGTCTCTGGGTCTGGGACTCAAATCTCAGCTGGCCATGTGGAAGTCCGATGATTTAACTGCTATGCCATCTGCTGGTCCAGGAGACAGACAGGGTTTTGCTATTGACTCCTCTACCCCAGTTCCCAGTCAGCTAGAACTACAAGGGTGGCCACTGCGCCCAGCCAGTTTGAGTTGCTCTGGGACCCAATTCCAGGCCTATTGTGTGACCCTGACTTTGTACAGTGGCACCCTGCTACTTGCTCCATCACAGCTGGGCCTCACTGTGCTCGTTTGTTTTTTCCTCTTTAGGGAGATTTTTGCTTTAGGCACATGTGCTCACTGGAGAGACAGAGAGAGACAGAAAGAGAAAGTGAGAAGTCACCCCACAGGGGTGATCACACCACAGTTCCTTCTCCTCCATTCTCCCTCAGGTTTTGGACATGCACACGCACGTACCTGACATGAGTTTCAAGCCTCTGGGTCTGGGACCCAACCAGGGTCAGCTGTGTGGGAGTCCAGTGTCTCAGCCACTGTGCCACCTGCTGGCCCCATAGTGGCTTCTTTTAAAACAACCTGGACCAGCCCATGGCATGGTAGTTAAGGTGGCTGGATCCCACATGGCTAACTGCACAGTTCAAGTTCTAGACCCAGCAGCTTGAGAGACACCCTGGGCATGTGCTTGCACAGGTCCAAAATCCTGAAAGGAGAGAGAATGGAGAAGGGATCGTGGCATGACCATGTCCTCGTGAGGGGTGCTTTCGTGCTCTCTCTCTCTGTCTCTGAAGAGTGTACATGTCCTTGGCAAAAGTTTAAAAATAAGTAAATAAAAATAAGTAAGACATCAACTATATTAAAGTGAAGATGCCTTTTATTGAACATTATTTTTTAATAGTAAAATGCATCTTGATGGAGTTTCCATTTTCTGTATTAGGCATGTCTTGATAGAAATCCAGAAGCTTTCCAACCAAAAATTGGGAAAGGAAAATTGGGAGATGTCAAGCCTCGACATAACAAGGGATGCAATTGTAAGAGGTCAGGCTGCCTTAAGAATTACTGTGAGTGCTATGAGGTTAGTAGCCAATTTCCTAGTGTTAGTACAAACAAAAACAGGTAAATAGTTTCGCCTACGTAACTTTTGTGGTTAAGAAAACTTTGCTATACTTTAAAAGGAGTACTATTTTCTTTCCTGAGGGCGTCTAAAAGGATACTCATATTCAACTAAGTTAGTATCTCTAATATCAGCTGAGCTTTATGAATCAAGTAGATGAACCCAGAGCTCCTTTTGGAGCAAGCTGCATCCCCCGAGTTCACCCTTGGGTGTCCAGTGGAGGGTGCCCTGCTATGGCCTTACCCCTTAGGCTGCTTGTCCACGCAGTCAGTCCCCTCAGCCAGCAGTCCAGTAGCTCCTAGAGATTGCCACACCTTTTACTCCTGAGCAGAGCCAGAGACACAGGGTGGAGGTGGGGCAGTGGGGCTGGGACAGGGCAGGAGGGGACAGGAGGCCTGGAGGCGCTGTTGGCTTCCAGCCCCTGGTGCTTGTCCCAGGCCTCTGTTTGTCTGGTGCTTCAAGGGGTGAGGTAGCATCCCCTGGCTCCTGGCCCGTCAGAGAGCAGATGGACAGTCAGCCTCAGGCGATTGAGAGATGCTGAAAAAATGAGATATAGGTCAATTCTTGGACAAAAACTTGCTCTTTTTCTCAAATATTTAATGGCAGTAGAGAGACTCACTTTTCCCTTTAGTTGTCCTTCTTTTGCCTCTCTTGTCTATCGCCATTTTTCTTTGTTGAATGAAAGGAAGAGAAAGGGAGGGAACCGGCTTGCCTTATCAGTGAATCAGCTGAGAAAACCTTCCTTAAAAGGTTCTCTTTGCATGAAGTCTTGTTGAGGTACCTGTGAATTTTATTTGTCCTAGGAAGTCAGGCTTAAGAGAAGTTCTCATGATTCTGGAGATACACATTTAAAGATCTGAGTAAGCACACCTAGCAGTCCCTTTGCTAAAATTTTGAAAATTATGTTGGAACCAGCAGATGGCATAATGGTTACATTGCTGAACTCCCATGTAGTCCACTACAGTTTGAGTCCCAGACACAGCAACTTAAAACTCACACCAGACGCATGTGTGTTTATGCCCAAGAGAACAGAGGAGAAGGGATTGCGGTGTGGCCATCTCCCTGAGTGGCGATTTCTTGCTTTTTGTCTCTCCATCTCTCTGGCAAATGCACGCACCGTATAGCAAAAATCTCTCTTAAAAATTTTAAGTTAAAAATAATGCAGAGATACAGAATTTAAAAGGCAAACGTCCCCGCGAGACTTACTTCCTGACACCTCACAGCATCTCCACTCTGCACAGTGCTCTCTCTGGCTGTCATGGCCAGTGACTAGGCCCACCGTGTCATACACTTCTGTGTGCTGTGATGATGGGGCTGCAGTGGTGCTGCTGCAGGCGGAGTGTGGCTGAGTCCCTGGCAGAGCCTATGCCAGACAATGGCCTGTGATGTGTAGGGGAGTAGGGAAGAGGCAGCACTGCCCATTGTCCCTGGCATTATTGTAGACAAGAAATCCTGACATGCCTTTTGCTTGGAAGTACCCAGAGGTACAGATGGATACAGCAGTAGCCTTGGAGATGCATCTCTGGGCTGGAAAGGACAAAGGGAAATGCCTGGTGGCTGAAGTAAAGAGGATGCTGAAAACCACAATGGTTGGCAGTGTCAGGTTTTGGACTGCCCCAAAGGCAAGGGGTGAGACCCAAGCAGGCTTGCTGAGTACAGCTGAGATACCCTTTCCCCCTGAGCACCACACTGCCAGCAAAGTCTAGAAACAGAGCCCACCCACAAAGAAGCAGGAAGGAGTTCCAGGGAGAACTTCTAATCACAGGTCTATCCTTGAGTAGGTTTCAAATTCTACCTTCCCAGCATTCTCTGCCACATTAGAACTAGCATAATACCCTCAGGGGCTGACATAGAGGAACCAGCAAGCTACAGTTTTAATTGTTTCTTTCCTTTCTATCTTTCTCCCTTCCTTTTTTTTTTTTTTTTTTTTTTTTTTTTGAGAGAGAGATTTTTGCTTTAGGGTGAGCATACTCACTGAAGAGACAGACAGAAAGTAAGAAATCATCCTCCATGAGGGACGGCCATACTGTACTCCTTTCTCCTCCATTAACCACTTGGAATTTGGGGCACTCACTCAAGTACCCGGCGTGAATCTCAAGTTACCAAGTCTGAGACTCAAACAGGTCAACCATGTGGGAATCTGGTGCCTTAACCACTAAGCCACCTGCTGGCCCATTGTTTACTATTTTTATGGAGGGAGTAAGGGAATGAGACAAAGGAAGTCTCACTGTGCTGTGATCCTCCCAACAGCAGGGATTGAAGGCATGTGCAAATACACCTGTGTGCTCATGTCGGCCTGAAACTGAAACCAGTCCTCCCGCGCAGCTTCCAACCTCCCACATGGTGGCACTATCCGTGTTGCTGCAACTGGACACATACTGGAGTTTTATAGCCAGCCAAAACAGTTCTTATTCTAAACAAGAGTCAAATGAAGTGGTTTGCTGGTTCCCCAGTGAAGAAGGAAGAGCAAGCCCTACTCCTCTGTTTAGTACTCACCTCTACTCACCCTTCAGCAGCCGTACTGTGCCCCTGCAGCCGTGGCACATGGACATGTACCCCATTTTCCTCATGTCATTGTTATTCACTCCTAATGGCTTCTACTTTTCTTCTTCTAATAAAATTGCAGCTTATGGGACCAGCAGATGGTCTAATGGTTACGTTGCTGGACTCCCATGTAGTCATCCTCGGTTCAAGTCCCGGACTCAGTGACTTGAAACTCACACTGGCCACGTGTGCATGCATGCCCAAAATTCCTAGGGGAGAATGGAGGAGAAGGGATTGTTGTAACCATCCCCCCCCGGGGGGGTGATTTCTTGCTTTTGGTCTCTCTGTCTCTCTGGTGAGTGCCTTATAGCAAAAATCTCTCTAAAAATTTTTTTGCAGCTTTCTCTCTCTCTCTCTCCCACACACACACACACATACATGGGCAAATACAAGCAAAGAATTATTTAAGATCCTAATGGAATTTGTCAGTTTTTGATGACTTGTAGGACAACCTAATGGTATTAAAACATTTTATATTACCAGGGTAAAATTATGTGTTCTTCCATTTGCAAATGCATTGGTTGCAAAAATTATGAAGAAAGCCCAGAACGAAAAACACTAATGAACATGCCAAACTTTATGGAAATTGGAGATTTTGAAGGCAGTCACCATTTATCACCAACTAAATGTTCAGGACTACCAAAATTCAGGAAAGATGGGTAGGTACTCTGATAGGTGGGTAGGTACCCCTCCCAACAGGGGAAATAGAGGTTCATTTGAGAGGAGAGTTAAAAACAATTTATACACTGGAAAGGAAGAGTGTGTTCCTACTAGGATGGGCGTGAAGGATGAAAAAAGAGACTCTTCTCCGCGGACTAACCCTGTGTGGGATACTGTGTTTCCTTGGCGGTGGTCCCACTGTGGGGACCTGCTCCGTCCTGGTTGTCCTCTTAACTTGCCCTTCTAGTCCTGACTGTCTAAATTATCCCTGTTTCATACAAGACAGAAGGGCAGTGCCAGGATCCCCAGTAGGGCCAGCAACATTCTGACACTGCCTTGGAATTAATCTAGAACCACACTGACCTCACGCTGACAGGGAATCGTTTCCAGACAGCAAATCCAAAAACTTTCTTTATCAGGTGAAGTAACAAAGAGATGTTCTTGAGATATACTGTAGTCCTTACCAAAGTGATTATGGACTCCAGATTAGTTGAACATTTCCCCATTTGATGATTATGAAGCTGTATTGTATTCTTTTTTCAAAAAATTAACTTTATTTATTTATTTATTTATTTAAATTTTACCAGAGAGGGACAGAGTGTGTGTGTGTGTGTGTGTGTGTGTGTGTGTGCGAGAGAGAGAGAGAAAGCCACCAGGTCCAGGAATTGAACCACAGTTGGCCATAATGTAGTCCAGTGCCCTTAACCACCACACCATCTGCTGGTGCTATATTGTATTCTTAACAGATGCCAAAAGTTGAGAAATAGCTTTACTCTTGGGTCATCGGAGGAGTCGTGATATATTTTTCTGTTTTTCTATGCAAAAATGCATCAGGACTTTTCCAATGGCCCAATATATATTAGACTCCATTAATTTATTTAAAAATTTTTCTTTGAGTTCAGTGTAATGGGTCATCTCATGATAAAGAACCAAACACCATTAACTAACAAGTATCATTTTGCAAAGCCAAATCCATGCTTATTTGATTCCAAGACATCAGAAATACTCATCATTGTGACGTGCACAGGTCTTTATTAGCAAGATGTATAAAAATCTGGCTGCATCATATAGTAAACCCTGTGTGAGTGTCCTCAGCCGACATGGAGTTGCTGTGCCCTGAGGGGTCTTGAGGCCTTAGCACCGGGATCCGGGCTCCTGTGTCACAACTCTTCTTGATCTGAAGGCAGCCCTATGTTCTCATCCTCCAACAAGAGTCATCCTGTACTGTCTTTGCAGAGACTACCCAACCGACATCTAGCTCTCTTTTCATAATCCAACACTTTTTTAATCCTTTACAAACTTTTCCTGAAATTTTCCAGTGTGAGCACTACTTGGGCAGCTATTCAGCTCAGCCACAGCTGTCCACAGGGCTCAGTGGGGAGAACAGCTGGTCCCTACAACACAGCACAGCGTGGCTTATAGAACTGCTTTGAAGGCCCCAAGCGGCATTCAGGAGCCAGGCCATCCTGACGGTGAACCCTTCAGGTGCGAAGTGGCACTCCTCAGAGCCATCTGGCATTTTGTAGCTCCAAGTGGCTTTCCTTAATGCTGATATGGCACACAGAACTCAGACCAACGCTACATACTTTGTCTGCAGGGCCTCATCTGAGATTCCTGCTTCAGCCACCCTCCGCCTGCTCCACAGGTTTGATGCTATAGCCCAGGATCCTCTGGGTTAATCTGATTTTGAGAAAATTTATTGGGTCATTGGAAAAGTCACAATGCATTTTTGCATAGAAAAATACGTCATGACTTTTCCAACAACCCAGTAGAATCTGCCATGAGAGCGATATCAAGAAACTGGTAAGATTTATCGGTCTATATTATTCACATAAAAGAAATGAATAGTTTCCAGTATGAGGAAGACAATGTTAGATTTGACTCCGTGACATTCCTTAAAATAATATGGACAAGCAATATTCTGTTAAATATAGGTGGTGCTTAAGAACAGTGGGCTGTTGAATGTGACCTTGAACTGATGTGTCTCCAACAGGCAGTCTTCCTCGTGCATCTCCTGGGAGGTGGTGGAGGCCACGTGTGCCTGCCTGCTGGCTCAGGGCGAAGAGGCCGAGAAGGAGCACTGCTCCGAGTGCTTGGCAGAGCAGATGATCTTAGAGGAATTCGGGAGATGCTTATCACAGATCCTCCATATTGAGTTTAAATCCAAAGGGTTGACGATTGAGTCGAGTACACTTTAGTAAAATGTGAAAGCATGCCATTTTGGTCTCAGTATTCTAAAGGAAGTCTCTAAGGCTGTTTTGAGGAACTCAGGACCAGTGACTACCTGGTTAAGACCAAGTGTTCCCCTCACGTGGGCCTGGTGAGTTTGCTCAGAGCTCTCTAAAGGGTGTGTGATCGCTTTTTTTTTTTTTTTTTCCTACAAAACTTAAGACATAGTGTTGTTTGTTTGTCTGGAACGGAGGAGAGAGCTTGGGTTCCTGTAGCCCTGGGAGAATTGTTGCACTGACATGAGTAATTGAGGTAAACAAGCCCTGGGGAGAGAGGGGTTCATTCTTACTGGCTTCATCCTCTCCAGAGAACTTTATTCTAGAGGCTGCCCTGCATAAAAATGTTTGTTTGTTTGTTCGATTTTCAAATTACTAAGAAATAAATTTTCCAGGCAGGCTGTTAGAACTTAAAATCTCTAGAGAACTACTAAAAACCCTAAAGAAATTACGTTTCCCTACAGTGGCATGAATTATCAGTCTTGTCCTAAAGCCACTTGGAAATGCTGCAATGGGGTCTTAAAGGCCAGGCTTGTGTCGGTAGTGTCTTGAGTTGCGGTACTTAAATTTACCTAGTTTCTTATGTGTTTCTATTTAAATTGTGAAAAAGCTCTATTATCCAATTAACTTCTCCATAATTATTGTTATAATATTATTATTGTTTGTAAAATATAGTTAAAATAACTGCTTACAGAAACCAGCAGGTAAGATTCATTATTAAGTTTTCTGTTTTGGTTCTATCGGAAAAACAAAGATGAATAAAAATTTTCAGTGCCTTCAATTGTTGTAATTAGTAACTGCAAGTACTGTCATCTTATGAATACCCACCCAAAATATATTGAACTGATGTTCTTTCATGCTTTTGTGCCTGGTATTGGCCACTTAGAAACCATTTTAAAAACTCATATACAAACATACCTGTGGAGGAAGTCTGTCAGGCCCAGCCACTGAGTGCATCAATAAACTAGGGGCCAACAGTAAGCCAGCATTTGAGGCTGCGTTTGGAACAGTCTAGTTCTTTTTTTTAAAATTTGACAGACAGCACATACACTTGGCAGAGAGAAACAGTGATATTGGGAGAGGCAGAAAGCAAATGGGACATGGTCACACTATAATCTCTTCTGTTCCATATCACCATCCTATCAGGGGAGTGGTCATGCCGCAATCCCTTCTCTTCCATTCTCCTCCTGGGATCTTGAGTGTGCACGCATATGCCCCCAGTGTGAGTTTCAAGCCACTAGTCGAGGACTCAGTCTGCAGTTGGCCATGTGGGAGTCCAGTGACATAACCACTACATCCATCTGCTGGCCCTGGGATGTCTATTTTAATTATTTTATTTTTCAGTTCTAAAAGTTCCATTTGACTCTTCTTTTTGTTGTTGTTGTAGTTGTTGCTGGAAGGTGTGTACACTTGCAGTGAGTGAGAAAGCACCTCCCAGTGGGGTGTGACCACACTAGAGACCTTCTCTCTTACATTCCTCCTTTCTCTCAGGATATTGGGCATTCTGCATGCACATGTGCTTGTTGTGTTTTTCAAACCTCTTGGGCCAGGATTCAAACTACAGTTGACCACATGGGATCCATTTTCCTTAACCACTGAGCTATGGGGCTAACCCCAGTTCTAAAAGTTCCATTTGACTCTTCTTTTTGTTGTTGTTGTAGTTGTTGCTGGAAGGTGTGTACACTTGCAGTGAGTGAGAAAGCACCTCCCAGTGGGGTGTGACCACACTAGAGACCTTCTCTCTTACATTCCTCCTTTCTCTCAGGATATTGGGCATTCTGCATGCACATGTGCTTGTTGTGTTTTTCAAACCTCTTGGGCCAGGATTCAAACTACAGTTGACCACATGGGATCCATTTTCCTTAACCACTGAGCTATGGGGCTAACCCAGCTTCTTTTCTATAGCTTTTCTTTCTTGGATGAGACTTCCTTTTCGTTTGTTCATTTATTCGTTTGTGTTTGAGGGACCAGCAGATGACGTAATGGCTATGTTGCTGGGCTCCCATGTGGTCGACCATGGTTCGAGTCCCAGACTCAGTGGCTTAAACTCACACCGAGTGCGTGTGCATGCGTGCCCAAGATCCCGAGAGGAGAATGAAGGATAAGGGATTGGAGTGTGACCATCCCCCCTGGGGGGGGTGATTTCTCGCTGTCTCTCTGTCTCCCTGTCTTTCCGGTGAGTGCACGTGCCCTATAGAAAAACATCTCCAAAAAAAAAAAGGAAAGTGTTTGAAATCATTAATTAGAGCATTTTTTATTACGGTTGGTTTAAAATCTTTATCAGATAACTAACACCCATCATATTGGCACCTGTATTAATCAGAGTTCTTTAGGGAGAAAGAACCAGTAGGAAATGTACAGATATATACAAGGAGATTAGAGTAGTAGGCTTATGTGATCATGGCAGCTGAAGAGCCTCACAACAGGCCGTCTGCAAGCTGGTAATCCTGGCATACTGGTAGCATGGATCAGTCCAGGTCCAGAAGCCTCAGAAACAGAGAAGCCGATTATATAACTCACAGTCCAAGGCTGAAAGTCTGAGAAACCAGGAGGCTGCTGATGTAAATCTTGGAGTGTGAAGGTAGATGAACTTTGAGGGCTGATGTCTGAGGCAGCAGAAGGTTAACTTGCTCTGTCTCACAAGACTTCTGTACTTATTCTCTCCTGGCCCCTTGCTGATTGGACTGTGCCCACAGTGAGGGTGAATCTTCCACTTCTAACTGACTTGGACTTACACATGACTGTCTCCTGGAAACACCCCATGGACGTGCCCAGAGTAATGCTTCATCAGGTTTAGGGCAGGTCAGAACAGAGACACTGTCCACAGCTGCTGGGTGAGAGGGACAAGGATAGAGGGGCCAGACAGGACAAGCTGTGGGCTGTGGTCTCCGTCCAGAGCAGCAGCATCACCAGGAACTTGGGCACACTGCTCTGGCCAGCCAGGGGAGGGCCTGGCTCCTGTGTC